GAGTACTGTGCTGAAAACCTCCTTTTTTAGGGTTTTAAGCCATCATAAAAGCAAAAGGCAATATTATAAAAGAAAATTAATAGGCTTGATTACAGAAAAAATAAAACTTTATAAAAAAAAATGAAAGGGCAATGATAAAACATCCTCTCAATATTATTACATAAATACTAAATAAATCAATATAAGAATCAAAATTTCAATTTCCTAAAAATTAGGCAAAGAGGAAATTCACAAAACACAAATGCCCAAAAAACATATGAATAATTACTTATTTCACTAGTATTGAAAGAAACTAAATACCATTGTTCACCTACAATATTGGTAGATAGGCTGTTGCTTTCGTTGTTTACCAAAAATTATTGAAAAAGTGGGAAACCCAGCATTTTCATATACCCCTAGTGGGAGAGTAAACTGGTAACAGCTATTGGAAAGCAATATGGGAATACAGCTCTAAAGGGCCATTCCCTCTGACCCCTTAATTTCATTTTATAGAAATAAAAAAAAATGGATTCCTAAACTGCCTTATAAACAAGATATTTATCAAACCAATATAATATTTTAAAGCTGGGGGAAAAAAACCCATGTGTCCAGTAAATAGGACAGGTTAAAATAAAAACATATAGAACTACTTTGCAACCATTAAAAATCAAAAAGAATACTTTAAAGTCTAACTAAAATATTTTCAATATTAAGTGAGAGTGTAGGCTCCAAAACTATTTGTACAATATAATCCCATTTGTGTATGAAAAAATAAATAAAATGCAAGGATGTATAATCTATAAGGAGGAAAAAAACCTGAAGAGCTACACATCCAAATGTTAGCAGTTGTGTCCAAATGGTCACAGTACAAGTGATTATTACATTCTTTTTAATACTTTAAACTTTCTTATATCCCAAAACATTCTATAATAAATGTATATTGCTCTAATAAAACAAATGCTGTAAATATTAGATTTGAGTGATCTGACTAAAATTAAATTGGCTCCTTATGATCACTATTTCACTTATAATTACTAACAAGCCATCTTTTTAAAAATCCATTTTAGAATTTCACTGGGAACTTATACTGCCCTGGAATCCATCTTTACCATCTTTTAATATAATACAGCCTATCAACAGCTCTTTTTTACCTGTTTCTCAGAAATTATCAGCATTGGTTCCATGAATATACTAATGGGAGGTTACTGGCCTATGTTTTCCTCCACCTGGCTCTTATTCATCCTTCAAAACTCAATTCAGATCCTTACTCTTTCATGACTCCCAGTGGAATATAAAGTGCCCTACTTCCCCTTTGCTCTAATGGTGTTTGCTGCCTATGTGGAATTTATTTTATTGTTTGAAATTATATGAAATACAGCCTCTCATTCTAGAGTATAACCTCTAAAGTACAAACAGTATTTTCTATTCATCTACAAATCGCCAGTACTTAGGCAAGAGTACACAATTTTAAAGCTTATTTAAATCAATGAATAAAATGAGCAAATAAAAATTTTCCTCTAATAGAATCTAAACATTATTTTAAGGTAGATTCCAACAAACTGAACCATGGATAATACTAATTATGGCTCAGTCAACATGTTGAGGAGTTCCGCCTCTCTCTTTTCTCATCCACAGGCTGATAGAGCTTCCCATAAATAGAGGAGTCAGTGTATAGATGCTCCTCAACTTAAAATGTGGTTACATCCATTTAAACCCATCATAGGTTGAAACTATCTCAAGTCAAAAATATATTTAATAATATATTTAATAATAATATATTTAATATTTAATACACCTAACCCACTGAACATTTGAGCTTAGCACACAATATACTGTAGAGGATTGCTTAATTCTCCTTGTGATCACATGGCTGACTGGAAGCTGTGGTTCTCTGCCATTACCCAGCATCATGAGATAGTATCATACATGAATAGTGCTAGGCCAGGAAAAAATCAAAATTCAAAATACAGTTTCTACTTAACGTATATCACTTTCACAACACTGCAAAGTAAATAAATTAAAAAGTTGGAACCATATGCATAAGCATCATGAAAAAAGACTACATTTAAAAGGTCTTTGGAAAATGTCACCTCTTCTCTCTGTGCTCAGCTTCCTTCTCTATAAATCTATCCTGCAATGGGAAGCAAATGAGAAGCTTACATCATTTCAAAGTGCTGACAATAGGTATAACTAAGAAATACATACCACAGGCAAATCTCCATCATCTTCCTCCTCCTTTTCTGGTTTAGTGTTGGAGATAGCTGTCCAACTCACATCATCATCAACAATCCGCATTCTAAAAGGGAACAATAAATAGATCAAAAAGGAACAGTCATTCTGGGATGCCAACCTAAAGAACGCTTATTTGTTAGGTTTAGGATAAACTTCAAAATCCTGCACAATCTAGTCTTTGTCTATATGGATTTCATCCCTTGCCACTGCCCCCTCAATTCACTACTAGTCATCTTTTGATGCCTGCAATAAGCCAAATTCCTTACTATGTCAGTTTTCACAAATGCAGTTCCTTCCCTCTACCTGACCTACTCTTCTCATTCTTTACCAGGCACTCTTACTCATTCTTCAGGTCTAAGCATAAATATAATTTCCTTGCACATATCTTCCTTGCCTACCCTCTTCCCACTCTTAAACTAAAAACCTCTATTACACCCTTGGGATACTTTCATTGTATTTTTCCAAAATAATGAAATCAATTACTTGTATAAAGCCTGGATTCTCTAAGCTTCATTAAACTGGGACCAAGGTGTTCTTATTCACAGAGATATCCTCAAAACCCTTCAATAACTGGCATAATAGCTGCAATCAGTCCTCTATATCAATGGTCCTGCATTTGCATTCAACCAACCACAGACTGAAAACACTCAGGAAAAAACCTCATCTGTATTGAGTAGGTAGAGACTTTTTGTCACTATTTCCTAAATAATTCTGAACAACTACTGACATTGCATTGACATTGTATTAGGTACTATTAATAATCTAAAGATGCTCTGATATATGGGAAGATTTGTGTAGGATACATATAAATATATGTCATTTTATACAAGAAACCTGAATATTCATGGATTTTGGGAAACAATCCGCAAAGATACTGAGGAATCACTACATTTATTAAATATTTGTTAGACAAACGAACTGTGATGGGAAGAGTTATTATTTGAAAAGTTAGGGGCACTTGAGAAAACAGCTCTAATCACAACTATTTAACGTAAGTAGTACTGTTCAATTTTAACTCTCATTTTAAAGATTAGGAAACTGAGACTCAAAGAGATGAAATATTTTGCCAGTATCAACAAAGCTTAATAAAGTGGTACAGATATGATTCAAGCTCTGATATGGACGTGTTAATTCCAAAGCTCAAACTATTTTCATATCATGGCATTGCTCCCAAAGAATACACAACAAATCAGAGGAGAAAGAAAACAGAAAGCAAGAATAAAGCAAGAACCAAACCAGTAAAGAAAACAGACTAGTTGTGGAACTATTTGACTTTACTGGGTGTATTAGTTTCCTAAGACTGCCCATAACAAAGTACCACAATCTGGATGGCTTAAAATGACAAAAATGGATGGGCATTAGTACACACCTGTAATCCCAGCAACTCAGGAGGCCCGGGCAGGAGGACTGTAAATTCAGGCCAACCTCAGCAACTTAGGGAGGCCCTAAGCAACTTAGTGAGACCCGGTCTCAAAATGAAAAATAAAAATGGCTGGGGATGTAGCTCAGTGGTGAAGTGCCCATAAGTTCAATCCTCAGTATCAAAAAAAAAAAAAGACAAGTGTTTTCTCACAGTTCTGAAGGCTAGAAGCTGAAATCAAAAATCAAATTAAAAATCAGGGTGTCTATAAAAGGCCATGGTCCCTAGGAAGCCTTCTGAGGATGAACTTTACTTGCCTCATTCAGTTTATGGTAGGTAGTCCAGGCAGACCTTGCTTGGATTGGCTCAGCTTAAATACAATCCAATTTCAGCTTCCACGTACACATGGCCATTTTCCCTGTATGTGAAAAACTTCCATCTTCTTAAAAGGACACTAGTCATACTGAATTTAGTACCCATCTTAATAAAGTATAATTTCATCTTAACTGATCACACCTGCAAAGATCCTAGTTCCAAATAATGTCATTTTAAGTTCTGGACTGAGGAGAATTTGGGGAAGGGGGTACTATTAAACTAGTACGCTGAGTCACAAGATTTTCTCATTTGAAAATGAGAATAATAATAATATCTACTTCTGATAGTAAGTTAAGTTCATGTATTTCAAATTTCTTAGGTGCCTGGCGCATAACTAGTGTGTAAATGTTTCCGTCAATGATAACATTTAATAGTAACAGACACGATCACGGATGGGTCTTCGAATCGGGATAAGAGTCCCTAGGATTTAGGAACCCCCACAGACAGGGCCCTAAATATCCAAGCACAGAAGCTTTGAAGTAGCTAGAGTATTTTCGGAGGCACGACGTTCAATCTCTAGAGGACGGAAGGCTATAAAGGCGGGAAAAAAAGGAAAGTTACAGCCTGGCTTTAACACATGCAGCTGCTCAGAGGAGCTAGGTGTAAGCCGGGAGGAGGCAGAGGTCAGGAGAGCTTGACGCACTCCAAGTGGGACCCCGAGCTTAAGCAGGGGTCGCAGCGCAATGAGGCAGGCGCGCCGGCAGGATGGAGGAACCGGGAGGCGGAGGGCGGAGTTGGGAAAGGTGAGGGGGCAGCGAGCTGTCACAGGCCCCGCCCCTGCCAGGAACTCACCCCTTGCCGCCAACCCCGCCAGGTTTTGGCCGCTTTTTACGCCGCTTGCGACCGGACTCGGGAGCTCCGTCGATGCCTGCATCTGCCCCAGACAGGTAACGCTTCAGATACTCAGCCTTGGAGAGCGGCGGAGCTGCCGCCATGGCAGCGGCGAGGGTGGGTATACGGCTCGGCGCTGGGGACAAACCTCCTGAACGCGAAACCGACGGCGGTGACCCAGTAGGTGGAGCCAGAAGCGGAAGTGGTGGCGTAGGCTTGGAACTGCCAGTCTGACGAGTGAGATGTATTTTCAGTATAAAGAGAAATGTGAACGCCTCCAGGATCGGCTCCACGACACAACCTTGTTTCTTCTTTGCCCTTCCATCCGTTCATCCATCCGACGCTCAGCGCTGTCCTAGCGTGAGGCCATAAATCGATCTAAACAAGACCTGTCCCCAGAGGCTTCAGTGAAGAATGTAGGTTCTGGAGTTGCAGCAGATCCAGATTTTAATACGAGCACATAACTTCCTAATTGGACCTCGGGCAAGTTTTTTAACAAAATGGGGAGAACTCAGAATGGTTGTGAGGACTAAAATAATATTACTGTTCCACTATGAGCTATTTTTACTAGTTATAAACATCTTTAGGTGGACTGGAATCTGCTCCAGTAGGCTTCCAGGTACCATTTGAAAGAGAAAGTCAGAAACGCAGAATTCAATATAATGACTATAAAAACGTGTAGGTTTCTAAAACATGTGTAACTTCCCCCACGTTTGATATTATTAGTAGCCATAGTTACCTCTTGAAGGAAACTATGTAAAATGTTGCTAATAAAATGGACATGGAGGGAACAGAGTTGTGGCTCAGTGGTAGCTTGCTTGCCTTGCACGGGTGGGGCACTGAGTTCGATCCTTAGCATCACATAAATAAATAAAATAATAAAATAAAGGTATTGTGTCCATCTACAACTAAGAAAAAACATTTTTTTTTCTAATGGACATGGGCTGGGGATATAGCTCAGTTGGTAGAGTGCTTACCTTGCATGCACAGGGTGGACACGGGACTGTTTCAGCATAGCAAATAAAGAAAGCTGGAAACGGAATTCTAATATTCAAGTTTTAGTGGAAAGGCAAACTTTTCTTCTGTAAGGAGTTAAGAGCTTTATCTTAATTAGCTCATTTAACCCTCACAATTAATCCTCAGGCAATTTTGTTATCCTGTTACAGATGACAAAACTGAAGCTTGGAGAAGTGCAGGAAATTGCTCAACTTCACACTTGCTAAAACATCATTCTTGGGGGCAGCGGATAGCCAAATGTGCAAGAAGTAATCCACTTTTTTTTCTGAAGTAAAATATTGGAGCTCTTTTTTGTGTCATGTTTAAAACTTTGCATTATTTTCGGCTATTTGTCAAGTAGGCACTGTCATACTTTATTTTTCTTTAAATATTTACTTTTTAGTTGTAGTTGGACACAATATCTTTATTTTATTTATTTATTTTTATGTGATGTTGAGGATCGAACCCAGGGCCTCACACATGCTAGGCAAGTACTCTACCGCTGAGCCACAACCCCAGTCCCATTATCATACTTTAAAAATAAAGACACCCCTCTTGGGATTCATGTTCAAAAACATTCTTCACTTATCTAATACAAACAGGCTTGGAGATCACTGCCTTGAAGCATGTCTTTGGGGTGATGTTTGTGATGCTGAGAATTGAACCCAGAACCTCACTGCAATTAGCAAAGCACTCTACCACTGAGCCACACCCCCAGCCCAAAGCAGGAACATTTAACTACTGGGCTGTGCTGGGTGGCTTTAGCATAGCCCAGAAAGGAAAACAGGATAGGTCTCTTGAGGGCTTGTGAGAAGGAGACACTGGACAGAGAAAATAGGGTTTCACTAGCTAGAGGGCCCCAAAGGTCTCCAGAAAGCTGACTTGACTTCATGTCCAATTTGGTTTATCTTAAACTGAACTGAAATGTCAGCAGGCATTTGAAATGTCTCATTTTTCTGCTCCAATGAAAATCAGCAGTATACCCCCTATAGCCTCTCAGTCCATCTCTTTCTTGTTACTGTCTTCTTCAGTTCCAACCATTTCACCCACTGACAGCCTTAGCCTGATACTACCCAACCCTACAACACAGGGCAGTGAAGCAGGATCAGATTAGTATGTGCCCAGTGGCATGGCCTGAGCTCTGCTGTCTCCCTGCAGTTATAATAATAAATATAGTAATTATAGACTTGTGATGAAAACATTCAGAATGCAGGTTTCTGAGTCTGACTGGCATGAGTTTGAAGCCTGCCTCAAAAAGCTACACTTCCTTCTGGAAATTACCTAACCTTGGGCATAATTTGTTTACTTGTAGCCACTTTTTCCCAGAAAGAACTTAAAGTAGACTTTAGAATTTTTGTACCTCACTTACTCCTCATAAAACCCTAGGAAGCAGATGTCACTAGTATCCCCACTTAATAGACCAGTAAACAGAAGCATCAAAGGTACCAAACTCAACTCCAACAACCAGAATAAGCACAGGCTCTTTTCATAGTTGTACACTACTTTGCTGTTAAGAGAAGTATATAACATTTTAAAAATAAGAATAAAGTCAAGTACTCTTAAATACTACTGGCCTATGAATGTTCTGATATGCATATGCTAACACACAATGGGTTGGGGAAGAGAACAAAAATTCATTGGATTAGACAAAGGGGGATGAAGGGAAGGGATGGGAGGATGGGAATAGGAGACAGTAGAATGAATTTGAACATAACTTTCCTATGTTCATATATGAATACATGCCCAGTGTTTACTCCACATCGTATACAACCACAAGAATGGAAATATACACCATGTCATGTATAACCAAAAAGAATTTTAATTAAATTTTAAAATTATTTTTAAAACACCACTGGCCTAACATTTAAGCTGACAACCTTCCCTACAATGTACAATAAGCAATTGACATATCACAGGCTACAAAGAGTGTTATATACTGACAATGTTATAATAGAAGTCTTCCCACCACTGAAGCTTTCAGTTAGGCAAGTCAATTGCACCTCATACTTATTCCCAAAACTCAGCTCATTGCTACCACTCAGGATCATCCCAACACAGATGTACATTCAATATTTACTATAATTTGCAACTCTAGTGTACTTTAAAAAGTTTGAAATATGAAGCAGGAAGCATGTTCTCACAAATGGACCAGTTTGCTCTTTCAATATAATCACAAAGCTTTCTGCTTAAATTTTATTCTAATAGCTATAATTAAATCTAATTTTCTTAGGCAGGCATTTTGACTCCTTTGGTCTTAAAGCAGGCTCCTTCCCCTACCTTAATACCTACATGTTACCTCCAGTGCCCTAAGAAGGGGCCATCAGTACAATTCATAATCTGTGGAGGACTTCTTTGTAACAGATTTATTAACCATATGAGATATGCTAAAGACTGTGGAGCATGACAGTTAACTATCCCAACAGGCTTTATGAAATGAGAATGGAGTTGGGAATGGTATTAAGACCTTGGCCCTGTCAAGATCAGGAAGCACTATAGTCTGGCCCTTGGTCCTGTCTGCAGTTTCAGAAACTCAGGTTATCATTTCCTAGTAACTGGAATAAACAGGGAAGTGACTGGATGAAATTCAGAAAATTGCTTCATCCCAACCAAACTTATAAAAAATTGAGTTAAAGACCTTAATGCCAATATTTTCCTTCATAATGGGGCTCAACTGCACAAAGCACACTTACTCCAAGAGGAAGTCTATTCTGGCAGAAAGTCAGTTGAAAACACAAGTATCTTGGAGTCACAGGAAGCCTAATCAAAGTGTTATAGCTTTAAAGTTTGTTAGTCATTTGCTAACCTCAGTTTCCAAATGCTTTTAAAAAACACCTTACTCATGCCTTTCCTTATAAAAACCAGATGTATGTTCCTGAGTTGGACCCAAATGATTAGTAACATGCCAAAGAATTAATAGATGTCTGAAAGCAGAAGTTTAGGAAACTAACACATTTATGGTGGAGAAGGAGGCAGAAATTCCAAATAAAGAATGACGAGAGTAAAGGAAAAACCAGGGGTGTCTCATAAGAGCCAAGAAAAGGGTTGAAAAGAGCTGATCCACTGAAAAGCAACGGAAATAGCAGAGTAGACAATAAGCACATTTTCTAGGTAGAAAATCAAGTGTGGTCTTTGGGAATAGTTTTTAATAGAGATGTGAGTAGACTTCTGATTACTAAGTCATCTACAACCAAGCAGTTCTTCAGTTAAGTTCATAGCACAAAGCCAGTTTTGTGATAGTATCTCAATTAACTGGCCTTTGTTTGAACAAACACTCTGCACCCTGCACCATTCACCTTTTGTTCCTGAGAGGCAGCACACTACAGCACAAAAAGTGCTGGCTGGGGTCCCAAGCATCGGGTCTTCAACTTCCTAGCAACTGTAGGCAGCCCCCTATTCTATAGCTTCAGAGGTTTTTGCATTTGCAATTCCCTCTGCCTGGAAATCCCATCCACCCTCCTACTGTGTTAGGTGAGCTTCCCTTACCTGTCTAAGCTCTGCCTAAATGACAAATTGTCATTTACTGAAATCTTCCCTGACCATTGTATCTGACACACAGTGCCACCTTCTCTAGCACTACACACCCCTTCCCTGCTACACACTCCTCCGTAACACCAATATCCATCTGACATGCTATCTTGCTTATCCATTTATTATAAATTCTCCCCTCTAGACTTGTAAGCTCCAATAAAAGCACATTTACTTTGTCCATTGTTCTGTGGTGTGCCTGGCAAAAAGCAGGCAAACATTGAAGGGATGAAAGAAATGCCAGTTCCAACCCCAAAAATACTGTGGCTGCACTGGAGAAGATTTTCTTCAGGAGGCTGAATTCTAATAGCATGATATCCAACTAGAACAGAGTGGAGGCAGAGGCCAGTATTGTTGGAAAGCCATCATTTTAATGAAAACTTCTTCACCTGTGCTGACTATACCCCCCTCTCCAAGATGACTTCTTTCCTGTTGAAAGCCAGTACTTTACATGCCCCAAACCAACTCCCAAGTCCGGCTGTAACTGTCTTTCATGTTCACCAACTTCAGCTTTCACACTCCAGAGGGTAGAGCACTGTGTGGAGGGAGGGTAAAGAACTGATAGGGAAAAAGTGATGATGGCATGTCCCATGCTTAGTTCCTGGGTTTCTTAGGCTAATTCATAACCTCCAAAATAAGGTCAAGTAACACAACAGGCTTGCAGGTGCATCACCAGCTGTTTACAAAGTGTGTCTAGATAGCTGACGTGTGGCAGGTGTCCTCTGTACCTGTGGAAGGGCACTGCACAGCATTTTTTCCCACAGTGATAAATAAGCTGCAGGATGAGCTGTGCTAGAGCTGGCCAGTGAGTCACCCACTGCTATCGCTGTGGGGCCAGGCCTGCCTCATAGCCCTCCGTCTTCATGTCATTGAGCCCCAGTTCCTCATTTTGGTCAAAGGTGCGCTTATAACGTTCCACCTTCATCTCTGGATCTTCTTCAGGTGCATAGACATTCTGCAAGGCCAAGAACAGACAATCAGTGCCTGTGCAATCCCGCCATTCCTCCTCCCTCAGGGAGCTACCAACTCCTACTTCCCTAAGAACTTAATGCCCTCCAATCCCTAATGCCTAGGCTCTACTAGGGGGCAGCAACAGAACTCACAAGAGTTAGGAGTGGGACAGCCTGGCTCCAGGCAGGGAACAGTCCACCTAAAACATTTTACATCTGTACTTTCTTATGAAAAATGTGGCAATGGTCTTAATCATGGAAAGAACTTGTAACAATTTTGTCTGAGCCTATTAAGTGCTCAATAAATATTAAAGTAGGGTTGAGGCCCTGGGTTCAATCCCCAGCAACACACACACACAAAGTTAAAATCTCCAGCAATCACCAGATTAATTCCTCAACTGGCTTAAAGCCTCTCCGTTTTCCCATTTTGGTCTCTGGATAGGACAACATTTCTCCTCACTCTACAATCAGACTTGCAGAATGAAAATTCCAGAGTTGGAGACAACAGCAAAACCAAGGATGAAAGGAGCCTAGGAGAACCTGTTTTCCTTTCTTCACATAAATTTAAAGCTCTTCCCACTTTCCCCCCTTTCTCCTTTATCTTCTTTCTTCTGCATAAGTTCCTTAAGGAAGAGCAGTCCATTTAGAATCCAGTCTTTTTAGTTTCTGGGGATATGATAAATACTCAAAGATCAGAAAATATATCTTCAACAAAAATCCAGGAAGGCCAAGTGCCCCACGGGGTGCGGTGGCACACACCTGTAATCCCAGAGGCTTGGGAGGATGAGGCAGGAGGATCACGAGTTCAAAGCCAGCCTCAGGAAAAGCGAGGCAC